CTTCCTTTAATTATCACTCCAGGTCGATTTTTGTCTTTGCGTCTCTTTTCTTTCGCCTTTATGATGAACTGTTTCCGCCTTTTTCTTTCTGTCATACCAGGTCCAACCCAGCATCCCCATCCTTGCAGCGTAAGATCGACGTCTTTCGGCCGCTCGCCTTCCTCAACCTAAAACCAAATCTCCATGAAAATGTTGTCTTCTCATTTTGCAAGAATTTTTAAAAGATTTTCTGCCCATCAATTATTACACTGCGTTTCATAAATATAGGTCCACCCTAAATTTTTGCTATTCCAAAGTTGCTGTGCATTTTTGGAAAATGCCGCTATTACCAATAGTTTCCCCATAACGAAAAACCTTGATATACTTGATTTCTGGAGAAATCTCGATTCAGAATTATTAAAATATCTTCCTTAGAACGTATTTTCACCGTTTCGCAAATATGACTACACATCACTTGTCGAAAATTTTATTTACAACAAAAAGAACATTACAAATTTTTCAATAATGGGATGGTCCTCCATTGGTCATAGGGACCACAATAATACGTTTTGAATTCTTGTAACCAAGTTAGCTATTACATAGATCGAAATTTGTCTGTGGGCCGATAATCGACGTTTTCAGCTCTTCCACTGTTCCATTTTGATTTTCTTTGCTGTGGAACTTTTAACAATAAGGCCCAATGATTTTGCATTGGAATCTCATTTAGAGAACATGCGGGCCACCAGAGATCTGTCACATTTCTTCTTATACTTCCTTCGGCGGTGTGAGGACCGGCATGGATGGTCGCATTATCGTGCATAAAAGAGAAGGATCGAGGGGGTTGTTACCGAAGAAATGGTGAAATATTCCGTTCCAGAAGTACATCACCCCGATATCCTACGGAATCTTCATTAAAGAAAACAAAAGCGAGCTCCTGCCGCTCAATCGTTCAAAGATGCCTCAAAGCATAAGGGATTTTACGAAGAAATTACGTTGCTTTAATACCATCTGCGATTTTCACGGGGATCCTCCTGTGCACCGCCTCTTTCTATCAGATCCACGCCTAGAATAAACTTTTTCACGTCACTCTCCGATCACCTGCAGCATTAAAGAATGGGAAGCGACTATAGATCTGCGTAAGGGTCTAATCAGCCATACCTTCCCTCAATTAGTTTAGGCGTTTTCCACGACGAAATGTTAGACGTGCGATCTTGTAGCGCTCCGATAATCTTAAACGTTCGTCAATCCCCTGAAGATGTTCTTGCACTGCTGGCTTATCCACTACACGAAGGTTTCGCTCAAGGAAGGCCGCATTTGAGCACGGACCTTGTTCGGACTCCTTGTATAATTCGACAGAAGACGCCCAATTCCTCTTGAATCTTGAATAAAAAGTAGCCTTCACCTACCACAGACTACTCTTCTTTCCGCACTGGGCAGGATTTCGCGGCCGGTGTAGCAACAGAATCGTCCGGAGACCCGCGCTAGTGGTCGTGGCCGCGACGTCGCGGTGGCGGTGGACGAGTTTCCGTAATCGTCATTCGATTGTGAATGAAAAAGGAACGCCAAGCGTTCGTTTCAATACCTGAGTAAACCTGGCTCGCACCTGAAGTGGGGCGACCTTAATGAGGTGTGAACCAGACCTAATTAAGTACAAAAGGTGCCCTTTCTACGAGATTGATCTTGGGAATCATGTGAATGGAATAGATCATGAAGAATCATTGCCCCAATCGTCAAATTCGAAGAAGGGCGCGCCCATCGAAAAACTGCCGCGTTGCGACGCCGCGCAAGTGACCGCGCGCGACGGCGTCACTCCCGGACGATTCTGTTGCACGCTCCCCGGATTCGCACATAGTTGCTTTATACAGTATGAGCCGGCCGATATGAAGGAAATTCTGCTCCTCAGCCATCGGGCTTCAGTAAGTGCTCTGGCTTGAGCTTGTTACTGGGAAGAGAGGCGAGTAACACGAGGTATGGTAAACTCGATGTCGACTGAGCTCACATATATCCCCGCTTCCCTGATTCCCTTCACGGATCATGAGAAATGGAAACTTTTTATGAGTGGCCCGATATTCATGAAACGGTGAAAATTCGTTCTGAAAAAGTTAATTGGGTTACTTGAGGGGGGAACTTTGTCAGAAAAACACTATGAAGGTTTTCCGTGATGAGGAATCTATTGGTGATAGCAGCATTTTCCAAAAATGCACAGCAACTTTGGAATAGCAAAAATTTAGGGTGGACCTATAATTATGAAACGCAGTGTATTTGAAGTAGAATGCATATTTATGAAATTCCGCTTCAATTCCTGTGAATATTTTCCACTGCCCCTAGAAGGTACTGCTTAGAAAAATATTATTTTCGACAAAATTATGGATTTTACTGCATCTGTGTTAAGTGCAATAAAGCCAATAACTGGCATCAAATCCTCATTGCCCTTTCTAGTAAGAAGAATTTAAACCAATTACCATTATTTTTTCCTCCTCGAAATCACCAATGACGTCGTCATCCTTGAAAGCCTCCGCGATGACGTGAGCTTGATCTGAATTACACTAGGAATCAACGACCAACGCACATGCTGGCTAATCAATCGCCAGCCTATTCAAACCATTTACACAGCTCCCTTTACTTTGGCGATCATTTTCCAATTCCCCCCTTTTTGGCGAACGATAGACGATCACAATCTTGCAAGTACTGACGCGCTCTGCGTGGCTAAGAGATGGAATATCTATCATTTGCCTCCTCCTTTATGTTAAACGTGGGACGTTTAGAGGGAGGTGGTGTATAAATTGAATGTTGAACAAAATGTTCTACTTGAAGACAGGGTGGATTCCACAGGGAGCGAGAGGCGGTACTTCTGCGGCGAAGGGAAAGCCCATAGCGACAAAATTAGATTTTACTCGTCTCTCTAAATTCCTTCATCTCTCTGCCCGCCCTCTGATTGACTACCCCAGCAGCTGATCCTTCATTGTTGGAGTCAAGCCTCATTGGCAGAGACAGGTCAATGCGTCCACGTCGATGAAATATCTATCGTCCCTCCCTTAAACTGAATCAGCCTCTTGAAGATAGGTTAGCGCTAGGGTAACCGCGAACATACGGGTCATACTTCTAAATGAGAGCTCTGTGCAAACAGGATCGGTGATGGGTACTCTCAAACAAGGAGATCCACTGCAGTGCTGTGGTACCCAAGTACGAATGCAGATGCTGCAGACACCGGCTTGTGAGAAGAACAAGGCGAGAGAGTACAAATGACACCAGCTACACAAAGTCTGCCAGCCGACTTGCTCAAATCTCGCCCATCATTCCCAATCATTCCGATTTCAATATTTACCAGAAAGATATGATGCGAAATCCAAGGTTGTTAGTAAGCAGCGCCTAAAAATCTCGTACACAAATTGCTTGACTATTCCATCAATTCCAAGAATCTCAACGATAGCCACAAGCATGGCTTAATCTAGGAGAACTTCCACCATCGTGCGTCAGCTCCCAAAAAGAATTCATACATGAAAAGCGAGTTTCTCCAAATAACAACCTTCATCGAATTCATCCATCTTGTCCATAAGTTCAGCAGATACCTTCGATAAGTTCGTCGTTTCCACCTGTAAAACTATACAATATGAAATCGAAAAAGGAAATTATTGTTTCGGCTATACTTGAAGAAATTCTTAGGACTCAAGCGAGATATCCGACGCGCTTTCCATTCTGTCTTTTGTTCATCTGCGCTTTCTTCGCTAGTTTTTTCGTTTTCTTCTCCTTTAGTGGAGTCGATTCTTCTTGCTCCTCCTCACGAATTTTCTTCGCTACCTTAAGGGGAACCTTTAAATAAAAAACGCCGGGAAAACACTCCGAATTGAAGATCTATTGAACCTCTTTTATATTCTCAACAATCTTCTCTTCAGCCGCATCGAACAACTTATCTATGTCTTTTGTACTGCACTCCTTCTGCTCAGGGACTTCATCAAAGTGCACACGCTTTTCTTCTTTTTACCTAAAAATTGATCGATTATGAAAACCATGAGCAAGGATGATTCCGCAGAATAGCGACTTCATAATTCATATCCTGTGTCAAGTGATCACAACCGATCTTAAGGTTTGCCTGTCTGCGCTTTATCGCGAGGTTCATAATTATCCTAAAACCACAGCTCTTCGACTCACCTTTTTTGCCTTCAATTTCCAAACTTTTCACTTCGGGAGCCTCTGCTGGAGCGTCGGCTTTGTTGTCTACATCATTAACTGCTGTTTCAGCCGATTTCCCATCAGATTCCTGCGATTTTCGTTTTGTCTTCTTTTTCTTTGGGACAGCTTCAGAGTCAGTGGTTGACGGCGCTTGAGCTGTGACAACGGTCCAGTCATCGTCTTGGTTGAATAACGGTTCGGAATCCGATGTTGTCTAAATGTGATTCAATAGATTTTGAAATTAAAAGCGCCAGAAGAAAAACAGGCCAACATTCTGTCTGACAATAAGAGCACATCGACGCGAACGTACTTCGCCAGCAACAGGCTCTTACTAGATCAGAGCAAATGTCGAAAAAACTTGACAAAAAATCGGAACTAGTGGAAACCTTTTGCACGGCCCGAGCCTTAGCCGTCTCTAGTTGACGTCGCTTCTTCGCTCTTAGCTCGAACAGAGCCATTTGGGCTTCTTTGGCGTCCATGGCGGTCTCGGAGGTTCCTTCTGCTCCATCTCCTTTCGCTGCTGCCAGTGCTGCGCTCTGGAAATATCACATTTTATGACCTATCACATTCTGTCCCTGAACCCTCGGCACCGAAAAGCAAATGAAAGGAACGCCAAAATCCGCTGATTACCTTAATCATTTCCGAGACACTCATTTTCTTCTCGTTCTTCTCTTCATCTTTCTCATCGTCACTTTCGGATTCTATCGAGACTTTGGATTTAAACTCGCGTCCAATCCTAAAACGACAATATTGAGGTTAGCGCAGACAAAGCGTGAAAGGAGGACATTCGGCGGATCAATCTCTTTCTGAGATACGCCACGCATACCATCATCGAGAACGGAATTTGAACATGGCTTGGCCCATACAACGATTTGATAATTCATTGAGCCCATCGATGTACGACAGCGCCCTTTTATTCTCACCGCAGAACCTGATACTCATTAATCCACAACGAAGGGGTGGAAGATTCGGTTGATCTAAGCAAGATTCAATTCTAGCTTCGAACCACGGGCAGTACACGTGGTAAGCGGGGCTATTTGTCACTGCACTGCCTCCCCCACCTGTTAGATACCATCGAAAGAAGTGTGTCAACAACAGAAGTTACCAGCTACCTCAAATGTTCCTCCAACACCTGTTTAGCGCGAGCATCTCGACCAGCATATTTCACTACGTCCTGTTGGAATTTCGTTCGAGCACGATGCTTGAGAGAACCGCGTTCCTTAAAAACTGGAAAGTTAAAATATATACGACCGAGATCAATTATATAAGAGCCATTACGGTCGCAAGAGAACAACATAGACGACTTACGATGATCCGCTGATTTTCAAGTTCCTGTAGTTTTTCTTTTGCGGCTTCCGGATCTCGTACCAGCAGGTCATCAAACTCTTTGATTAGCTGCTTTCGTTTTTGACGTTTAAGGATGCGATGGTAACTGAAAATCTGAACTGTTGCAATTCGAGAAAACTAACACAGTTCAATCCCAAGAAGAAAGAGAAAGAAGGAAAATTAAAAGATTGCTCTTTTATGACATTAAGCTTACATTATGGCACGCCACGAGAAAGACTGAGTGATGGTAAAGCTAGTAATGCATCAGAGATGCCCGAATCCAAAGGACTGCGTTAGGAAAAGGCTACAATCCGCAGTCCGAGATTTTTGTAGCCCTATCTTCACAAGCAAAACGCAACGTGCGTTGCGAGGCATTCCTGCCGCGGAACCCAAAACCATCTGCAATCTACAGAAGTCGGCATTCATTCGCCTGGTACCTATTTTAGGCTATCCAATGAGAAAGAATTGAAATGCCTAGATGATCAGCACTGAATGAGTGAGGTATCGGTTGGGGTGGATTCGCTGAATGTGAAATAATGAGTAAGGATCAATGTTTGGGTTATACAAAATGTAGTCAGAACAGAACATTTTTCATTCAAACAATCATTTAGCCAGATCAGACAACATCTTATAAATGAATCTTCGAAACATTCAAGATCAAACACTGACCGTTTAGATTTGATCTTAGCCGCATATCGATACTTTGCTTCACGATAGCTGATAAGTGCCCGCATCTTCTGCATTTGATTTAATTTTTCCTTGGCCTGAAATCTTGGTCGTTGAAAAAAGGTCAAATCTTTAAACTCAACCCAAAACTCATTGAATGCTTGATGAAGATTACAAAATAATCTCTCGGAAACGGAAAGCATATGTTTTTAAAAAGCTGGTCGTGCGAACGCCATTTTGGTGCAGTAGTGCCGTGAAGCTGGGTGGCAGTACTGCATCTGATGCTGATGCTCCTTGTTCCCGCTGATGACACTCCTCTTCCCTCCACAGTTGCTGGACCAGCCGTCCATGCGTGTTCTCAGCACTTGGCTTCGCGGGAAAATTAGCGGAAAAAAAAGACAAAGTCTAGACCGTTTTTGGACGAACGACGACTTTTGAATCTGGAGTTTGATACTAAAACATTTCCGATCGATATTTGCGTCCCAGCTTGAAAAAACATGTGCTTCCTAATTTTTTCTGGATTATTCAGAAATGTTTTTAGTATCAACTCCAGATCAGAAAGTTGCATGACACTACGATCCTTGCGAACACCATATTGTGACCAGGGTTCGCTAACATGACGGATTCCCCAATGGTCCTACTCGAACCTTCTCTGGAGGATCTTTATGTTAGGAACGTAAGTGTAACTCGAGAAGCGAAGAGCTCCAAAGCTAAACATCAACTCAACTAGTATATTATCATTTCACTTAAACCCTAGTAAGCGGATTTCCTCAACCCACAGCTCATTTTAAACGTATCAAGTGATTTAAAATTAAGAAAAAGCATTATTTAGTCGTCACGACCCTTATTTTTCAAGTTTGCTTCAGCATTCGATTATTATTAAAAGGCACAACCCAGGCAGAGGTCGTGTGAACTCTTCTCTTCGGTCAGAAGTATAGAACCCTAGGGGACAATCACAAATGTGGCGTTCACGTGCACGGAATTCGACCGACAAGAACGCTTTGGGCTTGCAAAGTAAGCTGCTCGAGCTGCAGCGAACGAGCTCTCTTATCAGGCCGTTGTCTGGTGCTCTCTCATCTGATGCGCTCTCTCGCCCCATACTCTCCTCTTCGCGCTTAGTCTCTCGTTCCTTTAGCACAGCCAATTAGGAAGGTGAGTGAGCCCTCAACCTGAGCGTTTTCGACGGATTCTTTTCCTTTTTTCTTCACTGCCGGCCCACTTGGCACCGATACATTCACATTCGTGTGCAAGAGCCACACCAGTGCGATCCTGGGGCATGCCTTTAAGCTTGGAATTCAGTGGCAGACCACCGAACACAGTAACTCGTTTTTTGGCCTTGACACCACTTGGCGCCAAAAACTCCACAAAACTTCGGAAGAGGGAGTTAAGAAAAGTAATGATGGAAAAGCCTATGAATCAAGAGAATTGCTAAAAGGCGCGGTACCTCTTTCACATCCATTGCCCGTATAATCTCTAACTCAGCTTCTGTGTACACCGTATCATTTGTCATGTTGTTCTTTGAACCGTTCCACATCTCCATCATCTTCTTTTCGAAATCAGTTTTGGGCTGTAAAAAAAACGATGAAAAAAAGTGTAATTATTTCTGAAAGCACCGAAACGCTTACGCCACTTACCTTGAATGCTTCGGCTCTGTCCGTTGGTCTTTCCGTCGACAGCATCCTTTCCTCGCCCAGTGGAAATGAAAGTTGATCAGCCAAGCGGTTGGTTTTCACGACATCATTCCAAACTTTGAGATCCTTCCTGAACGCGACTACAAATTTTCGAAAATAGTCTTGTCAATGGCAACATCGTCACTTCTACCGAAATGCGCGAAACAATGCTGTGAGTTAGGCGAAAAGGGCTGTCTTCGCAAAAGGATGGAAGCTGACATTTCCCGTAATAAAAATATTTTAAAAAAATTTAACTGAGAAATCACACGCGGCCATAAAATGACACTCTTAATACACACGACGTTTGAAACCGTAAAACTTGTTCTCTTTCGTGAAACTCGCTTTTCCTTATGGCTCCGAATTTTTCATTGATGCAAATGACTCCATTGCTAAAAAACGGTGCTAACTTAGTTGGGGGGGGGGGCCACGCGGCGGCGCGGCAGTCTGCTCACCTGGGCTCTCTCGAGCGAGACAGTGTAAACTCGAACATTCCAGCTTTTCACGCATGTCAAGTGACTGCCCCCACCCCCCCCCCTAGGCTGGCTACACTCCCCCTGGCCCACGGATTTCCGAACATGCCAGGCGAGCAGACTGCCGCGCCGCCGCGTGCCCCCCCCAACTAAGTTAGCACCAAAAATTCATGGTGTTAGCGAGAGTTATAGTGAAAGAAACGGGAAGAATTGACCCAATTAATTTATAAACCGTGATATTACTGATAAAAGAGTACTGACTTCACGTCATTGTCTACCATTTACCACCTCACCCTTCGAAAGCTAGTCCTGATTCTACTCAAAATATAGCCCATGAGTTGTCCCGCCTGGTGTACACGAACACCACATCCCTCCCGCGCAAGAGCTCGCGCACAAGCCACACGCGTCGCCGTTTTCCCCTATTCTTAGGCGGGGCCCCTTTTTAACCGAACTGGAATGCGCCAAGCGAATGCGACATTTGTACTTCGTGAAACGAGCCCGGGCAAAACCCTTTTCAAATTCATACTCTCATGTCATCTGCGAAATTTTCAGAGAATGAGACAGGAATTGATAAAAATGAACAGCTTTACTAAAGCTATAGTAAATTCGAAGCTTTCTCTCCAAGCGAACAAAACTAATGATTTAGTGGAGTGTTAGTCCTGATGTATGAACACGTTCCGATAAAAGAATAGAAATCGATAAAGGAAATATCGCTCACTTGAGTTCTATGAATCCCACAGCGCGACGCTTGATGTCTTCGCTGGGCCTGCCGATGTACTGGAACGGCTACCGTTTCACTTGCACCAACTCTTTTCTTTTCCTTCTTTTCCAAATCTAGCTTCTTCTTGGCTACAGCTGTTGATAATCTGAATGAATGCAATCAGCTTTCAACACAATAAAGAAAGGAAGTTGTTCGTCAGCTCACTTGGCCTGTTTTACTGAATTTATTAAGCACATCACTGCTGATCTTCACCGTTGATTTTCTAATTTGTGCCTGAAAATACTGAAACTAAAATAGAGCAATTCGTCAAAGAACCATTGCAATTTTTTGCGGTTTCAGGAGCTTACGGGTGTGGTTCTCTAGGAGCGAAAGCGAATCTTCCAACCGCAACAGTAACATTTTAATAAACACACCATCACTTTTTCTTTCCGGCCCAGAACACTTGCCAGAAGCTTTTCATGTTTCACGTTCATCAAAGTCATCATCTGACATCTGCAACCTATCAGCTTACTAAAATAACATAGTAAAACACACTCGCCACAAGATAACCACAGTGTTTCACAAGTATTAGAACAAAAAAGCAATACAACATGTGAAATCACTTTATCAACCGCACTATAGTGAAAACAGGTACAAAAACAATAAATATGAATTTAAGTGCATTATTAATCAATACGCATCGGTACTGTATACGATTAACATTAAGTAACACGTGTGAACGGAACCAGTTCAATAGAAACTTCAGCACACGTTTTTCTTTAGTCTCTGTTCGCAATAGCATTGAGGTGATGATCGACTTGGTCATTCGTCAGTTTCCTTTGAAGAGATAATTTTAGAAACCAAAACA